TGGGGGCCCAAAAAAGGGCGGTCGTGGTTTAACCCCAGCCAGCAACTGAGCACCACACAGCCGCTCGCTCACTCCCCCAGCCCCAGTGGGATGGGGGAGAGAATCAGAAGAGTAAAAGTGAGAAAACCCATGGGTTGAGATAAGAACTGTTTAATAATTGCAATTAAGTAAAATAGTAACAATTAATAAAATAATAATAATGATAATAATAATAATAATAATAATAAAAGAATTATTTATCACAAAGCAAGTGATGCACGATGCAATTGCTCACCACCCACCAACCAATGCCCAGCCAGTCCCCGAGCAGCAGCGCCTCCGGCCAGCTTTCCCCCAGTTTATATACTGAGCATGACGTCACATGGTATGGAATGTCCCTTTGGCCAGTTTGGGTCAGCTGTCCTGGCTGTGCCCCCTCCCAGCTTCTTGTGCACCTCCAGCCTTCTCAGTCGGTAGAGCTCGAGAAGCTGAAAAGTCCTTGACTTAGTGTAAGCACTGCTCACCAACAACTAAAACATGGGTGTGTTATCAACATTATTCTCATACTAAATCCAAAACACAGCACTGTACCAGCTACTAGGAAGAAAATTAACTCTATCCCAGCCAAAACCAGGGCATTGGGATTTGGCTCAAAACTACGAAGTAGAAGATAAGAAAATCAAGTCCAGTTGTGCCTCCAATTTCCTGCATATAGCGAAATTGTATGCTACCTAAGGAAGGAGATAACACTTCTTTCCTAATAATTGCTGTCTTGCTCCTTTAGACTGTAAGCTGCTCAGTAAGAAAATGTCTCTTACAATAGTAAGAGTACTTGCACAGTACTATATAGGAACTTGTGTAATAGGGTCTTGATCTCATTTGGAGAAATCTCTGCACTACTTAATAAATGCAATGATTTTACCTCTTATAGATGCTCTGTGTATGACATTCTCAAAATAAAGCATTGGAGTAATTGCAAAACACATTTGTTATATCAACATATAAGTGTTACCTGTCAAAAACTGAAGGCAAGACTTCCGCCATGCTAAGTGCTAAGGTCTATGTTAAGATCTATTTCAACATGTTTACATTTCTCCCATTCCAAAAGCATCTGCATACCTTGAACACAGAGTCACTACGAACAATTAATAAATTCCTATTGCCGCCCCTGGCAGTTCTTCCATGTGTGTACAGGTTTCCCAACAGAGAAAGATTGGCTTATTTATCTGCTTTATAGCTAATAGGGCTTAAAGAGTAGGACTAGAAATTGGTGTTGTATAATTCTCATGTTGCAATAGCCTCTCCAAAAGGGAAATTTTTCAGCTTTTCCTAGTGATGGTCAGATTCATCAGCTCTTCTCTGGAAATTTATCCCATGGCTACTGTGCCTTCAATGTGAAATAAAAAGAAATTAATAGAAAAAAAAAAACCTGTGAACTTTCTGAGAATGTATAGTTGCACTTACTGCACTGAGAGAAATGTACCATGATGCTTTCTTTTCTGTTTTTTGGAAGGGGATGAAGGTGAAAAAGGAGATAGAGGAGAAGTGGGCAAACAAGGAAAGGTTGGACCAAAAGGACCGAAAGGTATTTATGACAGTTTGTTGGCTATTACCAGTATATGAATATCGTTACACACAACTGTACTGGTGCATATGATTAGTGATGTTTAATGCTTTTCATTCCTGTTGCACCAGTGGATTTCACAATCCTGTCCAACATTAATCAGTGAACGTAACAATACTCAGAGAACTTGGTACAATTCCTACCGATAGATAAGACAGCTATATATGGCAATAAATTTAGAGAGCCATGTAGTAAACCAGTACATTTACTGCTGCTCTCCCAAGTGGCTGTCATGAGTGCGATCCAGAAGACCCAGATCATATGTATAATCAGAAAGATTACTGTTCTCTTACTGAAATGATCCTTTAGTTGAAACTGAATTTTGAGAGTTATTTCCTAGTAATACATCAGGATGCTCAACAAAATTCGGTCTCAGCTGTCCCTATTTTGCAGAAAAGCAAACAGAGGCATACACTGAGAAACAAAGTTCCTCTGATCAAACAGCATCTGAGCTGAGAACGAGGAGTCACAGATGTCTCAGGACTCAGCTTTATTAAACATATCCCATATCCACAGTGCAAGCTGGGCAGAGCATTCGGAGGCACCAGATGTGATGGTGTCAGGCTTGTTTGCATGCTCTAATTCAAAACCATAATTTATCAGAGTTTAATGATAATGCATATCCATGGTCTTTCTTCCTTGACAGTGGTTTAAGACTAATCACAAAAGTTTTTACTTTTACAGAAACTTTAAAATCACCCTGTTATTATTGTTATAATAAAAAAACTTTTCTATTTTTAAATGCATTCATATGACTTTGCTTCTTACCTTAAAAAGAAGATCGGGTAAGATACAAGGGAATCAGGTAACCAACCATTTACGAAGCATCTTAATGGTGTTAAATTCAGTGTGCAAACTGAAATTCCTTGAATTGGGCTGTCATCATTATCCAGCTATTTTAGAACTTAAACTATTAATAAATTAAAAAGGCATCCATTATTTTGGTGCTCTGAGGACTGGAAAGCACATACAGCAAAACTAGTAGCTCCCTATTTGCAGTCCTGCTTTGAGAAGGATTCCCAGCAAAGCCACGAGGACTTTACCTCAAGGAAGAAGGAAGGGCTTTTGTCTGGGGTGGAGAAAAACAAACCTCAATTAAAACCTGCTGTCGGCCTGGTTTGGTTGTGAAGTAAAATCAATATTTGAATACTCACTAGCAGTTTTAGTTTGTATTTTCTGTAAGACAACATGATGTTTCTTGGCATTTGAACAGGCAGTTCTACTAAGGTGCCTTGCAATGTCCTACTGTTGTATCCCACAGTGGCAGACATCTGCGCTGTCCTCCTCCAACCATCCTCGGGGCTCTATTAATTTTGACTTTGCTGCACATGTGGACTGGCCACGCTCAGGAAAAATAGCAGCTGTAGAGACCTAAACAGTGCCTTGGGAAAGAAATGACAGAAACCATCCATACTCTTTTCCTCTTTATTTCTTCTCTTAGGAAACAAAGGACCTGTGGGGGATGTTGGTGACCAGGGAATGCTTGGGAAAATAGGTCCAATTGGCGGAAAGGGTAAGCTCTGGCCTGGGGATTTTCTTGTTTTTTCCCTCAAGGTAAATATGTGTTTTGTGAGAGTTCCAGGTATGGAGCAATATCAAATAACAGCTGTGACCAATGCTCTCCAAATAAAGTTATGCATAAAGATTGGTGACAAGAGCTAACTGAGATATTCTTGTTTTATTTCCCATGTGCAATATATCCAACTTACTTGGCTAAAATAATTTGCTTTATGAGTTAAGAAATCAATCCTCTTTGACGGTAAAAGAGGAAGGGAGAAATCTGGCTCTTGTGAAGTAAATCCTCTGAGCGTTCTAAAAGAGAAAGCCAAATTTGTGCCTCTGCTTTGGATGCTGAAGGCCTAAGTCAATATTCTGCTGCTGCTCAGAATGCCACATCTTGTCACCTGCACTGCTGTGGGACACGTGAGCAAGCAATGCACAGGACAGCTTGGTAAGGAAAGGATTTTAGAAGTTTTAAGGAAAGCGCTCACGTAACCAGGGACAACAACTACTTGCAAATCAAGGTAGACTCCAAGTCTACCTGGACAATAATTTCATGAAATTATGCTCTATTTGTCTGAGAAGAGGCTCAGGCATTCCTTTCAGGTATTCCTAAAGAGCTACTTAAGAAGGAATATTACTTCTGCCACAAGGAGACCTGCCTTCAAAGCTGAGCAGGGACTCCACCATCCCCAGGGGAACTCTGTGGTCTCTAACCAGCGCATCAACCCAGGCATGTGGGTGAGTGGGTGGAACAATCTCTCCGGGGAGCTTCTCAAGCCAATGTTTTTAATAAACCTTTGATGGCCTCTAGCCAGCCTCAATATCAGAGAAGAACAAAAGAATTTGGCCTCAGGGACTAATTTTCAGAAGTACCTAGACAACTGAAAACACAGATAATTATCTCCTAAGATGTCTTCAATCACCAAAGGAGACTAGAATTTAAGAATCCCACAAATTGCTTATCTTTATCTGTAAGTAAACCAATTATTTGAGCCTTTAAATCAAGCTGGCTCTCAACCTGAATGTACAATTTATTGTCCTCTTCTAGTTTTTCTCATTTTCTTCCTTTATTTGCAGAAGGAAAGGTCACTAAGTCACTGTTTAAATCTAACATTAAACATTCAAGTTCTTAATGAAGCAACCCTGAAATTTCAGCTTGTGAGTGTCAAGCAATGCTAATTAAAATGACAGCCAACTCCTAATTTCTTTAAATAACACAACCATATAAAGGAAAAAGCACATCAAAACACGGCCATCAACAAGGCAGAGCAAGCACTAGTATTTCTTGACCTCTGAAGGTTTTAATTCATAAAAGAGCTGACATGAATTTCAGATAACGTCCAGCTGTTCCTGATCCAAACCACAGCTGAGATTTTTTAAAAAGCTAGTCACCTCCACTTAGATAGTAGCACAGCATTTAGAGAAGTATTTCTATCATTTTTATGATTTACAGAAGAAGAGGAAAGCAGTTGGATGAAAATAAATCACATTTCCATGAACTATATCTAAAATGAAATGCTGCTCCTTACTGACCTCATTTCGTGCAGGTGCTAACTGCTGCCTGCACATGTAATCTGTTGCACACATTAATTCAATGCACATCAGCCTCATCTGGTGCCTCATCCCATCATGGAGCTACTGAACCCAGGGAAGAGCTCTGTCCTGCAAGGCAATGAGAGGACCCAGGTCTCACCTCTTGCAGATTTCTTGAGTGCTTTCAGCCTCTCAGGATCATTTTGCAGTTTGTATTTAAAGTAAGTGGTACCAGGAACCAGCAGCACACAAGATGCCTGTGTTATCAGTGAGTTAGCTATTAAAGGGTTCTCCTTTTTTCCATACACCAGAATTAATCATGGTTTATTTGACTTGGCATATCTGCCAGTACAGTACATCAGGGCTTCCTATCAGAAGCACACCGTTAATGTATTATTGAAGAGGTTTTTCAAATACACTCCCCTGACATGTGCACTGTCTGAGAATATTTTTTCCTCTTTATTCAGGTGACAAAGGAGCCAAAGGCTTATCAGGGGTTTCTGGAAAAAAGGGAAAAGCAGGTATGCTATGCATCCTTCTCTGCAGAATGCTGAAGTCTGATGGGTCTTTGATTTCAGGGTTGGTTTGTCTGGAGTTTCATAAAATTTTGAGGCCCATGGAAAAACTTGAGAATAGATGAAACAAACAGGAAGAGACTGAAAAAGTTTTGTTTAGCAAAATGAGGGCTTGGGTAGGGACATGACTGATGCCTATGAATATACCAACATACACAAAATATGGAGAAGAGTTACCTAAATTAATGGGCAATGTTTGATATCATAAAAACTAACACATAGACAGGCCAGCAGTACATTTATACTGGGAACTAGGAGAAAGTTTCTGAATACCAAAGGAATGAAGTCCTTTAAGAGTTTCCTAATGGGAGTGTGGGGACGAAAAAATAAGTCATTTTAGATAGAGCATAATCTGTTGTCAAATGAATGCAACACATTTGCTTACAGGAGAAGAATTTGGATCTGACGACCCAGAAAGTTCTTCTCAGTCCTAATATCCTAGAATGTTTTCCCACCTTGAATGTCCAGTTGTGCTCATTTTTAAGAGATTTCATATGCAATGCCAGTTTCGTTCTTAATGGGAAACCATCAGCAACTTATTTTCTTCCTGAGAATAACAGAGGAACAAACAAAACCTATACCAAGCCAAATTTCAGTTTACCAACCAAAATATAACTGAGATTTCAGTGCTCGAAAGTTACTGATTATTTGAGTTGGCATTGACTATTACTGCTGTACCGCCGCTGCATGCAGCAATTCACTAACATAGTCCTTCTACCAAAGTTTTGCCAATCCCACCTCTATGCATACTCACAAAACCCCTTCACTGAGAAAGCAGCAGTTCCCCATTTCATGGATGCTGTTGTTTCTATTAGAAGGCCAGGAAACCTGTGCTGTTTACAGATACAAAGGTAGACTTTTGGCATTCAGATGTAACGCTGTAGTGATCACCATGACAAGCCACACCTCTGCAGCTAGATGGAATCGATAATGAGAGGAGCAGAGGATGTACAAATCCCACACTGATATGGGTGGAAAAAAGATGGCAAACTCTTCTATCTGCATTTTTAAAAGCAGGGATTCTTAAGCCAGTTAGCAAGGGAGTATACAGAGCCAAAATATTAAGCGCTTTGATCAACAGAAGTATGGCCAGTGGGGCAGGGTGAGACTGGCTCTCCACAAGTGGAGGCCAAGTCTTCAGAAGGTTTGGAAGTGGGCTACAGACGACCCTCCACGCACACACACAAATGCTTCTAAACAGATAAATCCTCTATCCTTTGTATTGCATCAGGCACGGTCTGTGACTGTGGAAGATACCGCAGAGTTGTTGGACAACTGAATATCAATGTTGCTCGCCTTAACACGTCCATCAAGTTTGTAAAGAACGGTAAGGATCTTTATGTATTTGATGTGATTTATTTGCCTCCTATAACATTTATCATTGCTATTCTTCTACTATTGCTGCTCTACAGCAGCATCCATAGATGACCCAGATAGAGGGTCCCACTGTGCAAGGCACTCTGAAAACATACAGAAAGGAGACAGTCTTACACCTGTATGGATATAAGCAGCAGATGACTAAAAGCAAAAACAATACAGAAATTATCAACAGCACAACAGAAAGAATCGTGAAAAGCACAAGGCACGGCTTGCTAACTACCCCTGCACTGTCAGTCTGCTCAGGCTCAGCGGCCACTCAGGCAATGAAAGGAAAAAAAGGGACAATCAACTTCCAGCTGCTGAGGCATGCTCCTTGGCACGGCTTAATTCACTAGGATATACGCTGGTTGAGAAGTTTGCCTTTTAAAGCTGCTGAGCAGCCAGTTTTCTTCCTAGTCAATGCCACTTAGTGGCTACAGCAGCTCTGAATATCAGGCTGTATTTAAAATGTCTTATTTTAGCAGCCACATTGATTTTCCTCTACATGGAAAGGACCTGAAAAGCTATCTATACCCCTGTGTTTCTACCCCAGGGCACTCTTTCACAATCTATATTCAAAAATGTGCAATGCAATGGGGGTGATCCAAAGTTAGACATTGCTATTTGACTGTTTAGTATGCCTTAATTTGATTAGTACTAGATATCTGTGAAGTAAAACTTACGTGTCACAGGAGACACGTGCCAATCATGACTGAATAGTTCTTGTCCTAACGTGTACAAGGTGCTTGCCAGTCCCATTAGTAGAATCAGTCTCTGACCATGTCCTCATCGTTCATCACAAATTCAGCAGTGGGAATACTTTTCCTCTCTCCCTTCTATTAATTCTAATGTAAAAATCATCTCATTGTCATATTGGAACAGAAGCACTGTTCAATATCTGTTGACATGCCATTAAGCAATTTTTTTTCCCCTTTAAAGTTATAGCAGGTATCAGGGAAACAGACGAGAAATTCTATTACATTGTGAAAGAAGAGAAGAATTACAGAGAAGCCTTGATCCACTGCAGGGACAGAGGAGGAACACTGGCCATGCCTAAAGATGAGGCAACCAACACCCTGATTGCTGACTACATCTCCAACAGCGGCCTCTTCCGAGCCTTCATTGGGCTGAACGACATGGAAAAAGAAGGACAGTTTGTGTATGCAGACAACAGCCCACTGCAGAACTACAGTAACTGGAAGGAAGGGGAGCCTCACGACCCAGCTGGCCGCGAGGACTGTGTGGAAATGCTCAGCACGGGAGAGTGGAACGACTCCGAGTGCCAAGTCACCATCTACTTCGTCTGTGAATTCCTCAAGAAAAAGAAGTAAAAGTGCCACAGAATGTGCCTGGCACTTGTACATACAATAACCCCTCCTCATTCATCCACTGTAGGGAGAGCAGACAACCAGGGATAGGGCTCAATCCAGCCTTCAGCTCACTGGGTTAAGCAAGAGCAACTACTGTTAAGATGGCAGTGGCCATAAAGTCAGCACAGGTCTGCATGAGGCATCCAGCCAGTTGTGAATTTTTATTTAATTTCTACGTGCAATTTAGGGTGGGCATTTCTATGTGTAATTTAGGGGCAAATTTAGAGCACGCAGAGGCGAATATGATTTCACTGATGCCAGAAATAGTAAACTCACTGGTATATTAATTACTGATGTGCTTCGCAAAGTCCACAGATGGAAAGAGTATGATATTTGCTCATTTTTGACCTGCACAGGAAGTCCCAGTAATTTCCCTAGTGACTTCAGAGCTGGGAGAAGAGATTTGCAGTCTCTCTTGAAAAAATCTTTCTTTTGTTACAATCATAGAGTAATTTAAGTTGGAAGGGATCTCTGGAGGTCATCTGGTTGAATCTTCCATGCAAAGCAGTGCCAGTTTCAAACTTAGATTAGAAGTTTGAAACTTCTCCTTAATTTGGCTGTGCAATTATATTGCCTGATACGCAGGGGAGGACTTGCATATCCCTGCTTCCAGCCCTATCGTCCATCAGGTTGGTCTGAGGTGTGAGAAATTAACTTAGCAATGACACTTCTGCATGCAAGCCTGCACAGCTTGTAGGCAACCTGAGAATAGATGGAGCAGTTCTAGCCTCTGATGTTCCCCAAAATCTGTGCAAAACAGAAAAGTCTAGCACAAAGAGAATAGTGCGAAGGAAGCAACACCATTGCTGTAGGCTGTAAACAGGCACATGTAATACCAGTTATACCAATGTGCATTGCTCGTTTAACAAGTGATTCTAGGAACATTTTAACTCCCTAACTCAGTAGCCAGTGACATTTGATGCCTAATGCTAAAATCACACGCACCTTTGCAACACAGGAAGCAGCTATAGAACAGGCTTTATCCCCCAAGAACCCAGATTCAGGTGTGGTTGAGCAACTTTGTCATGCACTTCAGTGGGACTCTCCACAAATGATGAGCAGTAAGCGTGAAGGCTTTGCTGTCAGTGCCCGGCTACTCAGATCTCCATGTCAGTATGCCCACAATGGATCACATTTTCATATCTTTGATAATACTGAAGGAGCTCTTTTCTTCAGACACAGCAATGATTTTGCCTTCAGAAGTGAACCTGTTCTTAGTCGTGGTTCACCTTCCCTCACAGCAGGAGATGTCAAGAGAAATCCCAGGGCCCCTACAATGAAGTCTATAGATTTTCTTTCCCACTTGACACTAAAAATGAAGGAATGATATCTGGAGGTTAAGGAGAATGCTAGACGCTAGGCACAATGCAGCAATGTACTCTGCAGGTCACTCTGATCACCGGTTGCACATAGTCTTCCTCTGGGTATATGAAGAGCTGGACATGCCATCAGCTAGTAATGCAGAGGGTCAGCTCCAATTCTCCCTTCTACTGCTGTGTATAGCACTGCAAAGGCAACTAGACAACAGTCATACTTCCTCAACCTCACCCTCAAGAGGAAAATCCTCCAAACCATTTAGGTGGTTGTTAGTTTGACTCCAAGCTCATCTCTGAGCAATGACCAATGCAGGAGCATCCCAGGAAACTCTGTGACTCACAACCACTCTTGTAATCTAGTTTCTCTCCACCTGTTCCTCCAGAAAACCACCTGTTGCTACCAGCAGTAAATGATCTGTGTTGCTGCACACCCTCCAGGGAACTATTCAGACACATGAATGAAGTGGTGGGACCGCATTTCTTTTCACTGCTCCCCTACTACGCTATGAGAGTATTTGGACAAACAGGTTCACTTAGCACAACATATCTCATCCTGAATTGTTCCTTTCCTGGGAATTGATATTCCCCAAAATTAAGCAGAATTACACTTTTTAGGATCTATAGTAATAAACTCATTAAGCTAAACACTTTGGTTTTAGAATCATTAATGGGTAATCATAGAATAGTTTGGGTTGGAAGGCACCTCTAAAGGTCATCTAGTCCAACCCCCCTGCAATAAGCAGGGACATCTTCAACTAGATCAGGTTGCTCAGAGCCCCCTCCAACCTGACCTTGAATGTTCCCAGGGATGGGGCAGCCACCACCTCTCTGGGCAACTTGTGCCAGTGTTTCACCACCCTCAGCACAAAAAATTTCTTCCTTATATCTAGTCTAAATCTACCCCCCTTTAGTTTAAAGCCATTCCCCCTTGTCCTGTCGCAACAGGCCCTGCTAAAAAGTCTGCCGCCATCTTTTTTAGAAGCCCCCTTGAAGTACTGATAGGCTGCAATAAGGTCTCCCTGAAGCCTTCTCTTCTCTAGGCTGAACAACCCCAACTCTCTCAGCCCTTCCTCATAGGAGAGGTGTTCCATCCCCCTGATCACTTTCATGACCCTCTTCTGGACCCGCTCCAACAGGTCCGTGTCTTTCTTATGCTGAGGGCTCCAGAGCTGGACGCAGTACTCCAGGTGGGGTCTCACCAGAGCAGAGCAGAGTAGAGGGGCAGAATCACCTCCCTCGACCTGCTGGCCACGCTTCTTTTGATGCATCCCAGGATACGATTGGTAATGATAAAAGAATTAATGACTAATTCAAGGCAAAGTTTCTTGAGGAAAAGTAATGCCTTTTAGAAGTTCAAGCCCAGGGCTGCTAGCCTCACTCACAGAAGGTCAGTCCTTACTAGTCATGCAGAAGTGGCATAGTAATGTCCCTGTGGGTAGCCACAATCACACTGATACCCTCTCCACACCTCATCTTCACTTCTGACCCAAAAAGTCACCAAAACATGCTTGCCAGACTGGGGGTCCAAATTCTGGAACCCTCTGGCCATACCGAGACCACTGGCTGACAAAATCCAAAGATGTCCTTAATGCTACAATCATCATGAACAGGCCATTTTCCTGTTCTTTAGGAGGGAACTCAGAGCTGGGAGAAGGTGAAAGAGGAGCAATACTTCGCTGCAGGATCAAGCTCTGTCTGAGATTGGACAGGCACTCTCCTTCACATACAAAATCAGGGAATACATGTCTAAATTGAAACTCTGGTCTTTTTTAGGAGACTGAGTTATAAGTAATCCTGGAGCATGCTCCATGTACGGGAAGGAATGACTGTCGCAGTCTCTGGCTGCATGGCTGAGGGAAGCAAGTGAGGAACTTGTGTTGGGTTTCTGCAACGGAAAGGCTGGAACAGCCCAGTTCCTCCATCATCCTCCTCTCCTACCACACCAGCTTCATCCTTTCTTAAATAGAAAAAAAAACCAAACCAAACCCTTTTACCCACTATGTATTCATGTAACATTGGGCAAGGCTATACCAGTTGAAACAACTACACCTGGGGTAGCCACTCCTTTGCTAACTACAGAAGAGGGACAGTAGAGGAGCACAGCACAGATGTTCAAGCTATCCAGGCGTAAGTGTGATCAGGTGCTTGTGCAACCCATTCCTGCAGCACTAGGTCCCAGTTAATAAATTTTGCCAAGAAGCCTAACTTGTAGGCCAAGCCAAATAAAAAAGGCTATCCCACACAGGAAACCTGGCAGGTAGGTCCATACAGCTCTGCACCATGCCATGCGGACACAAGCTTGAGCCTGCACTAACTCAAATATTATAGCTGTGCTTTGCAGAAAAAATATTCTTGTTATAATTAAGAATTTGGGCTATATCACAAGTTTCACTGCTAGCCAATGGAAATTCACTGCGGTGGGTAAAGTACCTTAGGTTTCTACATGAAGTGGATGGAGCCAGGAGCACAGGAAATGGTGTCTGACTATTCAGGATTTATGGTCTGTTAGAGCTCAGTACCTAAACCATTTTACTCAATCCCAATATTATGTTTTTCCCATGTTTTTCTTTTCATTATTCCCAGTCTGAACCTTTCTTGTTTCAATATATGCTCGCTGTTTCTTGTCCACCCACCTATCACCACTGTGAAGAGCCTGGCTTCATCTTCTTGAAGACCTCCTCATAGGTCCTGGCAGGCTGCTATGAGGTCCACCTGAAGTCACCTCTTCTCCAGGCTGAACAAATCGCGTTCCTTTAGCTCCTCCCCACACAGCTCTGGCTCCAACCATGTTGGGGGCACTCAGCTGAACTTGGCTCCAATTTTTCAATGTACTGGGAGACTCAAAAGGACACCGTGTCTAGATGTGGTCTAACAGGTGCTGAGCGGGAGGATAATCCCTTCCCTCAAGCTCCTGGCTGCGCTCCTTCTAGCACAGTCAGGATGCTGTTAGCCGTCTTTGCTGCCAGGGCACACTCCTGACGCACAGGCAGCGTGCTGTCTGCCAGGACTCCCCAGGGCCTTCTCAGTAAAGCCAGTCAGCTCCAGCCTGTATCAGTGCAAGGACTTGGCATTCCCAGACAAAGGAAACTTTGCATTTGTCCTTGCTGAATTTCATAAGGTTCCTGTTGGCCCATTCCTCCAGCCTGCCTAGGTTCCTCCGTATGGCAGCCAACCCCACCAGTGTATCCACTGTTACCTCCAATTTGGTGTCATCTGCAAACCTGATGAAAGTGGAATTCATCACCTCCTCCAGCTAATTGATAAAGATGTTAAACTGGACAGTCCCAGAATATAGACCCCTGTAGCACTCTATTTGTCCTCTGGGCAGATTACAACCCATTAACCACTCTCATCTGAGCCCAATCATCCAACCAATTTTTACCCATCTGGTTGTCCACCCATCCAAACCATAACATCCTAACTCAGATGCAAGAGTGTTGTTGGAGACAGTGTCAGAAGCCTTGCTGAAGTTGAGATAAGTGACGTCCACTGCTCTCCCCTCATCCAGAAATCCAGTCATTTTATCATAGAACACGATCAGGCTGGTCAGGCATGATTTAGCCATGGTAGATACATGCTGATCGTTCCCAGTCAGCTTCTCCTCCTTCATATACCCAGAAATGTGCTCCAAGACGTCTCACGCAATTAAGTTCCATGAGGACCAAAGTGATGCTGATCAGCTTATAGTTCCCTAGATTGTCTTTTTGGCCTTTT